ACTTCAAAATCTTTTTTTTTTCGCTTTAAGGTGCCGCTAGAGTTCCAGGGCCAGCATGTGGGGTTCCCCAATTCAAATTTAACAAAAAAATGTTCGATTGTTTTGTACACGAAACAATTTTCGTGAAAAAATGCCACGGAAACTTTTGAATTTCGTGAGAAATCAACGAAAAATCCACATGTTAACTTCAAAATAAAATTTGTTCGCTTTAAGGTGCCGCTAGAGTTCCAGGGCCAACATGTAGGGTTTTCCAATTCAAATTTCACGAAAGTTATTTTTTCGTTGATTTTGCCCACGAAAAAAAAATAATTTTCGTGAAAAATTTCCACGAAATTCCACGAACACGTATTTTTCTGGAGCAATTTCCACGAAAACTTCTGAATTTCGTGAAAAATCAACGAAAAATCCACATGTTAACTTCAAAAATCAAATTTTGTCGCAGAGTTCCAGGTCCAACATGTGGGGTTTTCCAATTCAAATTTCACGAAAATTATTTGTTTCGTTGATTTTGTCAACGAAAAAAATCGTGAAACATTTTCACGAAATTCCACGAACAAATATTTTTCGTGAACAATTTCCACGAAAACTTCTAAATTTCGTGAAATATCAACGAAAAATCCACATGTTAACCTCAAAATCACATTTGTTTCGCTTTAAGGTGCAGCTAGAGTTCCAGGTCCAACATGTGGGGTTTTCCAATTCAAATTTCACGAAAATTATTTTTCGTTGATTTTGTCAACGAAAAAAATAGTTTTCGTGAAAAATTTTCACGAAATTCCACGAAAAAAATATTTGTCGTGAGCAATTTCCACGAAAACTTTTAAATTTCGTCGAGAATCCACGAAAAATCCACATGTTAACTTCAAAATCAAATTTTTTCGCTTTAAGGTGCCGCTAGAGTTCCAGGGCCAACATGTGGGGTTTTCAAATTCAAATTTCACGAAAATTATTGTTTCGTTGATTTTGTCACGAAAAAAATAGTTTTCGTGAAAAATTTTCACGAAATTCCACGAACAAGTATTTTTCGTGCGCAATTTCCACGAAAACTTTTGAATTTCGTGAAAAATCAACGAAAAATCCACATGTTAACTTCAAAAATCAAATTTTGTCGCTTTAAGGTGCCGCTAGAGTTCCAGGGTTAACATGTGGGGTTTTCCAATTCAAATTTCACGAAAATTATTTTTTCGTTGATTTTGTCCACGAAAAAAAAATAGTTTCCGTGAAAAAATTCAACGAAATTCCACGAAAAAAATATTTTTTCGTGAACAATTTCCACGAAAACTTTTGAATTTCGTGAAAAATCAACGAAAAATCCACATACTTCAAAATCAATTTTTTTCGCTTTACGGTGCCGCTAGAGTTCCAGGGCCAACATGTGGGGGTTCCCAATTCAAATTTCACGAAAATTATTGTTTCGTTGATTTTGTCCACGAAAAAAACTAATTTTCGTGAAAAATTTTCACGAAATTCCACATGTTTGCAATTTTTTTTCGTGGACAAAATCAACGAACAAATATTTGTCGTGAAATTTGAATTTCCAAAGCTCACATGTTGGCCCTGGAACTTTAGCGGCACCTTAAAGCGAACAAAAATGTTTTTTCAGTTAACATTATGTTTTTGCATTGTTTTTTACAAAATAAAAAATTGTGGTGGAAACTTTTTCACGAAAACTATTTTTTTCGTAAACACAATAAACGAAAAAATAATTCTCGTGAAATTTAAATTGGGGAACCCCAAATGTCATGTTGGCCCTGGAACTCTAGCGGCACCTTAAAGCGAAACAAATGATTTTGAAGTTAACATTTTTTTCTTAGGTTTCCCACGACAGTGAAAAGTTTTAGTGCATTATTTTGCGCAAAAAAATATATTCGTTGACAACATATAAACGAAAAAAACAATTTTCGCGAAATTTGAATTGGAAAATTCCACATGTTGGCCCTGAATTCCAGCGGCGCCTTCAAGCGAATTTTTTGAGTTCGCATTTCAATGTTCATGGATGTTCCAAGAACTGTCAAAGTTTTTCTGACAGATTTCAACGAACAAAAATATCGTGAAGAAAATTCTTGAAAACAAAATTTGCTTATTCAGATCTGTAGATACGATCGCCCACAATGTAGATGCGTTCGCCTTCAAAAACGAGTGGGAACGGCGCGCGCGACGGGCGTCAAACCGCGCGAAGAAATCTTTCCATCTCGGTTAAGCGCAGGGCAGCTTCGCGACTGGCGCCACCTGGGCGTCGTCGGGCCAGGGCCCCCCCCAGGTGAAGAATGCGCGCCAGGCGACCCTGCCGGGGCGCGCCGAGGACGAGGCCGCCGCGCCGGGCCTCAGGCTGCGGCGGGTCACTGGGCCCCTGGGCCAACTGGAGAGGACGCCCCAGCTGGGCCGCGTCGCGCTGCCTCCGGCGGGGGCGCGCCCGGGCCCGCCGCGGCGAAGTCGGCGATCGCTTGTGTCCGTGGTCACTTCTGCGCAAGATGCGTGGGCCAAAGATGCCGAGAGGTTGGGCGTGCCTGCTCGAAGCGCTACGCCCGGGGCCGCCATGTGACACGTTGCCCTTTTCTCCTTGTGGCCCCGGCGCAGCGCAGCTCTTCGGCGAGCTCGCCAGACTTTTGCGATCAGAGTGCAAGCGTGGTTCTCTCCAGACGGTCGCGTCAGCGCGCGAGCTTAAGGGGCGCTTTTCGGGCCCGTTCGGTCGTCGGCAAGGGGGGCTCGAGGGCCCGGATGACAAGCCCCAGGGCCCCATCATGACTTTCCGCAGGCTTGGGGGGGCAGTGCGGCAGAGGGGCATCCCGTTGCCTTCTGGGCTTCAGCGCCGCGGGTCCCGATCCCCATCCGCTCCCGCGCCTGGGCGGCACTTGAGCTGGAAGGTCGCTCGCAGGCGCGCCCAGCTCGTCTTGGGCGGAGTTGGCCTTGGACCTGTCATGCCGTTGGCGCAGCGCGGCTTCGCGTGCCTGCCAGTGGCGCGGGGCTTCTGCCAGTTCCAACGGTGGGCTCGCGCCCGAGCGCCGCGGTGGCATGGGTGGCCCGCGCGCAGCGTTGCTCGGTCGGCTGGCTTGCCAGTCTGGCCCCCGCGCGGGGCGTGTTGGCCCCGGCGCGGCGACGCTGGGCGCTGCGTGGTCGTCTACAGACCCGCCCGCCCGCTGTCGGACAGGGCGCGCCCTGGGCCCGCTGCGCTGACGGCGCTCTTCGGCGGCCTGCCTGGTCCAAATGAGGACACGTAAGCGGATGGAAACGCGCGGGCGCGTGCAAGGCCCTGGCGGGCGCGCGCGCGGGGCCATCGCAAGTTGCCGAGCGCGCAGACCGCCCCCATGGGCTGGGAAACGCACGCACCAGGACCCAGCCAGGAGCATCGAACGAGGACCTGCCGCCACCTTACTATTGAAGGCGTGAAGCAACGAAAGGAAAGCGCCTGCCGCCCCACCTGGCTCCGCAGGGGTCGTCCATGACCAGGCAGCCCAGTGCCGCCGCGCTGGGACTGGCGCGCCCCGCGCTGGGGCAACGCTAGCCAGCCAGCCTCCAATGCCACGCGGGGCGCGTGCTACCAATGCCACCGTGGTGCATGGGCTGGGGCCAACCCCTGTCACCAGCGCCGGCCCAGCGCAAGCGGTGGGCCCGCGCAGCCGCTCTAGCTCCGCCGACGACGTATTTCTACGCAGCGGTGGCCAGGCTTTTTTTCTGCACAGTGGCCCGCGCAGGTGGAGCGCAGAGCGATACTTCGCACTGCCCTTGGTTTCTTCCATCGGGTCAATCTTTGTTGTTTTTCTCAATCTGTCTCGCGTGGCTGTCACCTGCGGCAGCCGAGAATTTGGTTTGTGCATTTGGTATTCGGGCATGCCGTTGTGCTTGCTCCTGCGGGAACGGCGGCGGACTCGCGCGGCCACGCCAAACGCGTTGGGGCAAGAGTTTTTGTTAACTGTTAACCGATATGTCCGTGCACGGTGCCCCGCGATTCGCGTTCGGGCTCCTCTAAGGACGTTTTTTTAGTGGCCGGGCTCGGGCCCATTTTGTTTCATGTTTGCGCGGGTCCATGCGGACTCGAATTTTCCCGCCCGAGCCATTCTGTCCGCAGAAATTCCAGCTGTTAGTATTTCCAGCTTCTCCGTAGCATAGCATTGGGAACCCCACGCTGCACGCACACACGCCAATACAATACGCCGCTCACCCTGGAAATCATCAAGTCCGAACACGAATGGACCTTTGAGGTGCAACCGCCCACATGGATTTCACCGTGAGCCATGCACCCAAAGACGCGGCGATCGCAATATGGTGTACCCTCAGGGCGGGAAGCTCAATGGGTGTACCCCTCAGGGCGGGAAGCTCAATGTCGCTGACGAGGCACAAACGGTGGTAGTAGGGCATTGGTGGCCGCTACACGGCGGGCGCGATGCCATGCTTGTGGGGCGCCACGGCCTTTTCCCGAGAACATGGCATGTTGAGGGGTGTTAGATTTTGCGGGGTTGTGCAATAGTTGGTCCATCCCGTCGTCTCCACACACCACGTCTTACGTGCACGTTGCCATCGCGATTCGGTGCCCGAGCCGGGTGCGTATTTTTGTTTTGCCTTTCAAGACCCGGTGGTCGTGCGGATACCACAGAAGGTGGATCCCTGAGTGGAATCCGTTGGTGAGTGCGCAAGAAAATGCAACAACAAACGCGGCGTCGCATCCCTTTCTCCCCCTTCCGTCTCATCCTCGTCATTTTCCCCGCCCTTTCATCACATGCTGATCCTCCGCAGCCTCCTTCCTTCCCGCCTCCTTCCCGTCTCCTTATTCCCCTTTTTCTCGTGCTCGTCGTTCTGCTGCCCCCTTCGCCAACCTCATTATCATTATCGTCATCCTTCCCCGCCCTGGGCACCACACCCCTCCTTTTCCACTTTCCCCTCTCCTCACTTTCCTCTTCCTCTTTTCCCCCCTTCTCGTCTTTCTTTCCATTCCCCCTCTTTTTTTCCCCCTCCTCCCGTAACCTTCTAACGTTCCTGGTTGCTCGGGCCACTCCCCCCTTGAGGATGCGGCGTCCGCCCAGGCTGCGATCCAAAGGCACCGTCATTTTCTTCCTTTGCGGACGCCACCTGTAACTCTATTGCTTCTGGTTCGTGTGGCCATTCCCTGCTCAACGCGTTGCCTTTGCCTGGACTTTTGCCGCCGCGGCGCGTGGATGCACGTATTCCTGGTTGTGCAACCCGTGGTCCTGGAGGTTTGACCACGTCATTCTGGCCACACAGGGGAAGAAACAGCCCGCCCCTCCGAAGAATGGCTGCGGAAAACACGTGTTTTACATTCCGCCGCAGTAGGAGATTAATGCGCGGCCCTAGGAGTATTAGTGCAGGTTGGCCCGGATCGGCCCGAGGGCGTTGTGTGTGGTCGGCCTTTTCGCGCAAACACATTAGATGAACGGCACGGTGGCAGGGCGCATGGAAGAGTTTTGGGAACGGGGGGTTCGGAAGAGAGAACAGGGACACAGGTAGAAGGGACGATGATCCGATGATCGAGGGATGATGGCATTGGGAAAGGATGACATAAGAGGGGTAGGGAGGTAGGGAGGCACGATGGATGGCGGCTAAAGGCGCGACGAAGGACGACGCGGAGCGATGATGATGATGATGATGATGATGATGATGATGATGATGATGATGATGATGATGATGATGATGATCATGATGATGATGATGATGTTGATGATGATGTTGATGATGATGGTGATGATGATGCTGATGATGATGCTGATGATGATTATGATTCTGGTGATGCTGATGATGGTTATGATGCTGACGTTGTTGGTGGTGTTGATCATGAAGTAGATGATGATGCTGATGATGATGATCGTGATGGTGGTGATGGTGATGATGATGACGATGGTGATGGTGATGGTGATGATGATGGCGATTGTGATGATGATGACGGTGGTGGTGGTGATGATGGTGATGGTGATGGTGACGATGATGTTGATGATGATGATCATGATTATCATGATGATGTTGATGCTGATGATGAGGATGATCATCATGATGGTGATGGTGATGATGCTGATGATGCTGATGATGATGCTGGTGATGATGATGCTGCTGATGCTGATGCTGCTGCTGGTGATGATGATGCTGACGGCACCCGACTCCTCCTTCCCTCTCCCCTCTCCCCTCCCCCTCTCTCTCTCCGTGTCCCCCCTTGCCCTTGTGCTTCCTTGTCCTTGTGCGGTGTGTGTGTTCCCTGTCCCTTCTGCTTGGCTCCCACTCCCTGTCCCCCGTCCGTCCGTCTGTCGGCCCGGTCTGTCCTTTCCTGTCGTCCTCCCTCCTTCTCCCCCTTCCCCCCCTCGCTACTCGGCTCCTCGCTCTCTTGCCCGTTTCGGCCCCTTGCCTGGCCCGCGTTTTTTTGGCGGCCCGTCCCGGTGTCCGAATAAGAGCCGCGGCGCCCCGCGCTGCCACGCTGGCGAATAGCCCGGCGTGGGGTTTTAGACTCCAGGACGAGGGCTGGTAGTAGTTGGTCCGATGATGATGATGATGATGGTGATGATGATGCTGATGGTGATGATGATGCTGATGATGATGATGATGATGATGATGACGATGACGATGACGATGACGATGACGATGATGATGATGATGGTGATGGTGATGGTGATGGTGATGGTGATGGTGATGGTGATGATGGTGGTGGTGGGGGGCGGAGGGGGAGGAGGGGAAGGAGGAGGAGCAGGAGGAGGAGGAGACACCACGACGAGGACGAGGACGTTGGAGACGATGAGGTGGAAGGAGGGATGGTCAAGAGGAGGAGAGGGGGGGTATCAAGAAGGAGGAATAGCAAAGGGAGGGGGGGGGGGTCACGAAGAGATCAAAGAGGGGGCGGGGGACGACGATGCCGACGAAGGATCAGGCGCGAGAGAGAGGAAACGGCAGGAGGCAGGGAGGAAGGAGCATAGACCAGCGAGGGACAAGCAGTATGAACAGCAACAAGCACATGCGAAGGAGCGAGAGGATGCTGAGGAGGAGGGGAAGAGCAGAGACAAGGGCCCTCCATGGTGTCCTCAGGGTCACACTGCCCCCTGATATCCAGCGGTCCGAGCCATCATTGGGTCCCCCACCTGCCGCACCGTTTCTGAGGTGCCGCGTGCCTTTCAACACATGCCAGCAAATCGGACTGAAGCGCCGAGCGCCCTGCTTGGACCACCGGGTTGGATGTTTATACTTTTGGCGTGTGTGCGGGGGGGGGTCCCCTGGCGAGGGGAGGCAGCGCGCGACCTGTGGAAGGATCGCCTTCTGGGTTGCACGAGCGCCGATGCAGTTACTCGGTCCCCTTGCCCCATTGGCCTCGGTCGCGCGGGAGCGTGCTGCCGGCGCGCAGCAGATCGGGGGGGGCGCCCCGCCTGCCGCCTGCCGCGTTCTCCTTGCTGCCTGCGCGGCTCTGGCCTGTCGAGGAGCGCGCTGGTCGTCGGGGCGCATGTGGGCACGGCCCGCAAGGCCGCTCACAGGCCCGCGAGCTGTGTCGCGGGCCACTTGCCGCATTCGAGCTTTGCCGCTATTGAGCTTGGCAGCCGTACGAGTCTGATGGGAGTTGTTATAGCCCCCTTGAGGGGAAGCGGATTGACTACGGTATCGGAGCAGAGGCTGAAACTGGCAGAAACTGGTGGGTGTTTGCAGAGGAAAAAAACAAAAAAAAAAAAACAAGGCCCGCGAGCTGTGTCGCGGGTACCTGTTGCCCCCATTATGGTGCGGTCCAGCTGGAAGGATGTGCCTGGCCCCTGAAGGGTGTCCAGGGTCAGTCGAGCTGCAAGCAGCCCTGGACCCATTCCTCCTGTGCCCTTCGGATGATCAGCATGCACGGCGGGCTGCGGATGGAAAAGGGCTCAAAATGGCGAACCGTACCAAACAAAGCCTCGGCAGAGTGCGTTACCCATTTCTCAGCTATCTAAGCGCTTGGGCCCGCGCCCACTCGTCCGCATCTCCAATGGACCGCCACTTGTGGTTCCGACCCTGTTGCTGCCCCTGATCCGAGCACCGCCGTCCGTACTCCTCAACAACATGCCTAGTTTGCGATTGTGGCTACCGCTTCCGCGAGCCTCGCCTCTCGGTCGTTTGCGTGTAGCGACGCGTGGCGTCAATCTCAAGCATGGTCAATTGTTGTCGATGGCAGTCCCACTGCACGCGATAGTGTTCTCAGCCTCGGATTCTTTCGGAATGTAAATCTGCTATGCGATTGCTAATGTTTGAGTGTGTTTGTGTGTATGTGTGTTTGTGTGTGCGCGTGTGTTTGGGTGTTTGTGTGTGAGAGTCGGTTTGAGTGTGTCTGTGTTTGTTTGGTTTGTTTGTAGGAATCACGCTCCCAATCTTCCACGCTACTCTTCTGTCCTCCCCCTCCCCCACTTCTCCCGAAGGGCCCTGCGCGTGTCGGGCTCCTATCGCCCTTTTGAGAGGATCTGCCATGTGAGTGAGCGTGAGACTGATTGAATCACGCTGTGAACTTTAAATTGCTTGGGTGAGATTCCGGGCGCCGACGTGCTGGATCGTCCCCGTCTCACCTTTTGCATGGTGCCCTATTTGCTGACCTCGCCTTCTCACTGGGCCGATGGCGTGCACTCAGTTACCCTACTGCGCAGTGGTCCCGCTCCCCCCGAGTGGCGGCTCCACCTGTCGGGCTTTCCGTGGTACTTTGCCCCTGGCCGCTTCTTCGGCCCAGCGCATCCCCGGATCCTAGGGTCTCGGAGCGGGCGATAGGTCTGCTTCACCCCTGTCCCAGCGCCGTGGTCTCGGCTGCGTTTGCGGATGGGGTCCGCTGTTCGGCTCTTCAGAGACGCAGACGGGACTCTGCAGGCTGCTGTGCTCTTTGCTGCAGCTGCCCGCCTCTCTCGCACCACTCTGTCCAGCGTCCGGGGGTGTGAGCTAAGGAGCGGGTACCATGACGAGCCACACGTTGAGGGAGCCTCCTTCTGACTGGACATGTGGCCAGTCTGCGGCGGCAGGGGGCTGCACGACTGCAAGCCAGTCTGTTTCTTCGCGCTTCGCCGAGCGCCAGCCACACCGAGTGCACACCCACTGGGATGCCCCCCTGGGGATGGATTGTGGTGTTCTTTAGTGGGGGCGCTGTCTCATTTTTACGCGATGATGTCAGGCGCTTGAGCCAAATTGGGCTATGATGTTTTGAACGGGCAAGCTGTGGGCTTTCCTCCTTCAGAGGGCTGCCTTTTGCCTAGCGAGGGTGCTGGGGTTCCCCTGCGCTTGTGTCGGCCCGACTGTCTCTCTGCCCGCTGAATGAGTTAATTTGCATGCCTCTGTTAGTGCTGTTTCCTTGCCGCGGGCTCAGCTTATGCAGGAAGTGGAGAGGAGGGGACCAGCAGGAATCGGAAAGGAGGGGATGGAGTCAGGCAGGCCGAAGAAGCAGAACAGGAGTAGCAGGAGGACTGAAGGGACAGGCCACAGTTTCCAGAAGCCCAGCCCGCGCGCCGCGCAGCCTCAACAACGCGGAGTTCCGGGGCCAGCAGCTGCGCCTAGACACCGCGGAGAGGGGCTTGCTTCAGAGCATGGTGCCGCCCGGGGCCCTGCTTTCCCGCATGTGTTTTTGTTATTGTCTCCATGCTTGGATCTACGGCTTACAGGTTTCTTGCTTCCCACTTGATTCTAGGCCGTGTGGTGAATGGGGAAATGAGGAGCAGGCCCTGGCCCCACGGATTCTGGAATTCTGGCCCGTGGTCTGTGGTTTCGAGGTGGTTCTTGTGTTTGGCCGTAGTTTTTGCTTTACTCATACTCCTAGCCGTCGCTTCGTTGATGCGTTCCGGATTAGTCAGGCGCTCTGCGGTTGACCCCCGGGTTGGGCGGCTCTTGAGCTCTTGAGGTGCATTGGAATCACCTCGCGGGCTCTTGGCGACGTCAGGCAGGGCATCAGGCCAGGAGGGGGAGGAGGAGGAGGAGGAGGAGGAGGAGGAGGAGGAGGAGGAGGAGGAGGAGGAGGAGGAGGGAAGCTCGGGCCACGTTTGCCCGTCGAGGGCATCTTTGGGGGCAGCTGAGACGCTGGCCGTTTTCACCACGGGCTCTCCTGGTTAAGCATCTTGGGCCTTGGCGCGTCGTGCTGCATTTGAAGCATTCTCTCTGCGATCTGGGAGACGATTTCCTCCTCCTCCTCCTCCTCCTCCTCTTCCTCCTCATCCCCCTCCTCCTCCTCCTCCTCCTCCTCCTAAAAGGAGTGCCGTCACCAATTTTCCCGCTCCAGCTCAACTGCTCTTGGCCTTCTTGAGTCAATCGTTTTTTGGCCAACGCCTTGCGGACCGACTCGGTTTGACCGTGCCTTCCAGCGCACTGACAAGGCAGCGCCGCATTCACCCACTTCACACACACACACACACCGTGAGGACTTTACATGTCATGGCGGTGCTGCGCCAGTCCACCAGTGCGCTGTGGAGGTGAGGCAGGGGGCACGCGTGGCGACTGGGGGATTTGAAAGCAGGTGAGGACGCAGCAAGGCCCCACCGCACACATCGTGTTTGGTATCACCTTTTTGCAAGGACGCCCAGCTTTGTAAAGTTACGCATACTGTCTCGATGCAGGCGGGGCGGGAGCATTCAATACTTCGCAGCGGACGGCCTGCCCGACACATGCCAGCCGCAGCACAGCGCGACCGCGCGCGTGTGTGTATATATCAGAGTGAGGGGGCCGAACGGTCATTCACTGTCCCTGGGTGCGTGGCTAAAGTGGGATTCCGCGGTGCGGCTTGTTGTTGTTGTTGTTGTTGTTGTTGTTGTTGTTGTTGTTGTTGTCGTTATTGTTGTTGTTGTTGTTGAACATTATTAATTCTAAAGAATAATTATTGTTGGGACCCCTGGTGCACGGCCCCCCTGCGCCGCCTAGGCCGCAGCTACATTTTCATCATTTTCGTGAGGAAGCCTCAGGTAATTCGATGTGATCAAGATCCGGTTGTTTTGTTCCCCCCCGCTTTCCCTTGCAAAAAACACTATAAAATGACATTTCTTGTTCTAATATAATCAAATTTCAAGAATCCCTTGCAAAAAATAAGGTAAAGTGGACATTCGCGCGCGCAAGACGAAATCCTTCCAAAAGCTTAGTGTTCGGAGCGATTTTAACATAAAAACATCAAAAAACCAATGGTTTTTCAACAAAAAAATGTCAAAATCTCATCCCGCGCGCTCTTGCGGATTCGTAGGAAACCCAACACTTTTTAAACATTTCTGTCAAACGGGCTTTTGCGAGCAACTTTTTCGAACTTCTGCGACAACGGTTGCGCACCTGCCAGGGCCATCATCCCTGTCAAATAATACCATGCGGGACACATTCGTTTTTTCTTCGCGCGCGCACGCCGTCGTCGTCGGCCGCGGGGCCCTGAATAGTAGCCACGGTCGTCCGCATGCCACGAAGTGAAGTGTCCGAACGTCATAGGGCGGGAAGCTGGGTGTGGGTGGTGGCGAAGAGTCGTTTGGAAATTTGGTAGAGCTTGAACCGGCCCCCCCACAAAGTGGGGGTATTGCCCGCCTCCTATGAAAACCCTGGCACTGGTGAGAACGGAGTGTCCCCAGTCTTAAATGATTGTTGTTGTTGTTGTTGTTGTTGTTGTTGTTGTTGTTGTTTTTGTTGTTTGTTTGTTTGTTTGTTTGTTTGTTTGTTTGTTGATTGTTGTTTGTTTGTTTGTTTGTTTGTTTTTTGTTTGTTTTTGTTTGTTTGTTTGTTGTTGTTGTTGTTGTTGTTGAACATTATTTATTCTAAAGAATAATTATTGTTGGGCCCCCTGGTGCGCGCCCCCCCTGCGCCGCCTAGGCCGCAGCTACATTTTCATCATTTTCGTGAGGAAGCCTCAGAAAAGAGGGTGTGTACAGGATCCGGTTGTTTTGTTGTAATCCGCTTTCCCTTGCAAAAAACAATAGAAAATGACATTTCTTGTTCTAATATAATCAAATTTCAAGAATCCCTTGCAAAAAATAAGGTAAAGTGGACATTCGCGCGCGCAAGACGAAATCCTTCCAAAACCTTAGTGTTCGCAGCGATTTTAACATAAAAACATCAAAAAACCAATGGTTTTTCAACAAAAAATTGTCAAAATCTCATCCCGCGCGCTCTTGCGGATTCGTAGGAAACCCAACACTTTTTAAACATTTCTGTCAAACGGGCTTTTGCGAGCAACTTTTTCGAACTTCTGCGACAACGGTTGCGCACCTGCCAGGGCCATCATCCCTGTCAAATAATACCATGCGGGACACATTCGTTTTTTCTTCGCGCGCGCACGCCGTCGTCGTCGGCCGCGGGGCCCTGAATAGTAGCCACGGTCGTCCGCATGCCACGAAGTGAAGTGTCCGAACGTCATAGGGCGGGAAGCTGGGTGTGGGTGGTGGCGAAGAGTCGTTTGGAAATTTGGTAGAGCTTGAACCGGCCCCCCCACAAAGTGGGGGTATTGCCCGCCTCCTATGAAAACCCTGGCACTGGTGAGAACGGTGTGTCCCCGCGTGCTAGTAAGTGTAGAGAGAGTGAGTGAGAGAGAGAGAGAGAGAGAGAGCGAGATAGAGAGAGAGAGAGAGAGGATAAGTGAGAGAGAGAGAGGGAGGGGGAGAGAAAGAGAGAGAGAGAGAGGGAGCAGAGAGGGGAAGGGAGTGGGGATGGTGGTTTCGCTGCTTTTGGTGGGTGGGACGAGAGAGTGCACCATGTCAAATGCGCTGTCGGCACCGATGTCTCCATGTACTGATTGGATCGTCATTCGCCTCGTCTGCCTCGACCATGTACCGTATTGAGCCCGTCCGCCTGCCTTCACTGTACTCTGCGGGTGCGCCATCAGCTACTGCATCCCCCCGAGCTTGAGGCTACAAGCATTGTGCCAGCGATGGGCCCACCGGCTACGGACTCCAACGACGACGATGGGAGGGGCAGTTCAGAGGATGTGGGCAAGTGCATGCAGGAACCGAGCGAGAGAGAGAGATAGAGAGAAAGTGGCAGCACGCGTTGACACTTGGGCGGCTCGTAGGGCTTCAGCGGGAAGCGGCTGGCTTGCAGGCATGTCTCCAATTCGGCATATCGATCGGTTCGTTCTGGGCAACGTTGAACAACTCCGCCCTGTGCCTCTTCTCTTCTTCCCTCCGTGTTTTGTGTGCCCTATCCGACTCACGTCGACTGTCCTCTTATTCTCAGGAGGAAAAGAAACACACAGACACAATTAAATCTCGATTCCCCAGAAAATATGGGAAAATATGGGAAGTGGTGGGGAAAACAAAAACCCAGAAACTATGGGAAAATATGAGGGAATATTTTTATTTGTGTGTATTTATTTGTGTGTTCCAGTTCCCCTTCATATTCTGCAGTGCGACAAGGTCGCCCAATGATCGCAGGCTGGTGCAGTGTGTGTTCTGGTAGGCGGGGGGGCGCAGCGCGGCGGTTGGTCGACCCGTTCGGAGCGCGGAGCTTTTTGTAGAGAGCGACAGAAGGTGCGTCGCCCGCTGGTGATCAGGAGGGAAAAAACACACACAGACGCAATTAATCGGCGATTCCCAGAAAACATGGGAAAATATGGGAAGTGGGGGGGAAGACAAAAACCCAGGATATACATGAAAATATGGGGGATATTTTTATTTGTGTGTATTTATTTGTGTGTCCCAATTCCCCTTCAGGTGAGTGGGCAACATGTGGTTTGCATACACAAGGTGTTTGCCCAACCAGCCCGTATCGAGGTTGGTCTTCGTTTTGAGCCCGAAGCGCCCCGCGTTGCCGCACCTCGTCCTGCTCGTCTTCCCCCTTCCTCTCTTTGCCACCCGTCGCCGTTTTGGCTCAAGAGCTATGGGCTTCCTGGCGGACTCCGTGGACACTGCTGATCCGCGGCTTGTCCTGTCCTGCGCCAGGTCTGCCCCTGGTTGCACCCGAACAGATCAGCCCCAGCAGCGGTTTCTCTCGTGCCTCAGCTCGGATGGGGCAGATTGGCAAGACGGGCGGTTAGCGTACCCAGGACCGACCAACCACAACGCTGTTTATCTTGGTTTGGGTTTTTGGTTTGTGTCTCGTTTCGTGTTTGCGTTGTTCGTTTCGTTTGGCGCTGGTTTCGTTCTAAACGTTCGTTTTAAACACCGGTTGTGGCCGGTCCTCCACACGCGCTGCTCGGAAGCAAATGTGTGGTGCCAGCATGTGTGGGTTGACCAATAATTCCAGCGGCTCTTGGTGGGCACCCTTGGCATACTCAGGTGCAGGCGAGACTCATGACAGCGTTGGTGGAAAGATGCAGCCCACGCCGCTGTCGCTGCACTTGGTGTTGTCGCAGGCCATCAAGGGGCGCGGGATGTCCAAGGATCCGCAATCCACGCAGCTTGCGACTCAGCTCAAGGTTTTTTTGTCGACTCTTGGGAGCTGGATGCCTAGCCAAAAAAGAGGGCCTACGCGGTTGTCAAGGAGGCTGCGGTCGACTGCGCCTGGAAGGAGGAATATTTGGATAAAGCAGCGAGGGACGACGAGCAGGCCAAACTACAGCTCGAGCGCGAAAAGGCCAAGCTCGAGGAGGCGACCGACGCGCTGGCGGAGACCGAGATCCACCGTGAGGAAGCGCAGGAGACGGTAGCGGTCCATGGCAGTGCAAGTGCAAGTGCAATGCAGACGGCAGTCGGCACTTTGCTCACCGCAAGCAGGTCCGTTTGTTTTTGACCGGCAGGTTGGCGCTTCGCCGGCAGCCTGATGCCAGGCCGGAAGTTTGCAGCGCATGCTGAAGACGGGTCGCGGCGATGGAGCGCGCGACGCTGACTCATGAGACGGTGGCGGTCGACGCATGGAGTCAGTTTTCTGGCAGGGCGAAGGGGCTCGCCCGCTCTTGCGCCGCGGCGTGGCAATCGCCTGGCGGTGCTCCTATAGGCAACGCGCAGGCCGAGAGGCGAGGCGCGACCGACATGGCTGTTTCGTGCCACGCGGCCTGGCGCGCGAAGCAGTCTGACCCTGCCCGGGCGACCGCGCGCCATTGCAACATCGAGGCCACGATTTTTGGGGGGCAAAAAAACGGAACGATGAACAGTTCGGACATCAAGAGGTACTAGAGCTTGTATTTAAGTGGAGGCCGCAGGTCCCTCACTCGCAGTCCGCTGCGCTGCTTGACTTGACGGATGCCGCGCAGGCTACGCGCAGATGCCTTGAGTACGCGTTTTCAGAACGCACTTTTACAGTAGCATCGGTAAATGATTTAGCCGCCGAGTCGTCACCCATAATTTCCTTGCGCGCCCCCCTGCCCCCCCAATATTGCCTGTGTATTGGGGGAGGCGCCGAAGGGGGGGGGGTACGCAAGCAATTTTTGAACCATTGTATTTGGCTGCAGTTTCGGCTCGAAGGGTTCGGTGGCGGGCCAGGCCCGCTCTCCGAGCCTGTGAGAGCACCCAACCCTGCAGGTGCGCGCGGGCCCGCCGACGCGGGCGATCGGCTCGGCCTCGCGGAGGCCGCGGCGCCGTCGGGCCCTGGGGCAGCACGGCGCGCGCTGGGCCCATCGGCTGGGCCCTGGCGCTGGCGGTGCCTGCCGGCGAGTGGGAGGCGATCCCCCCGGCGCTCTCCTTCTTCGGCGACGCGGAGGAGGAGGGGTCCGACAGCGAGCCGCTCTTCGAGGGCGGCGCGGAGGGCGCCGAGCACGCTTGGGCGGGCAACAAGGCCAGCTACATGGCGCCCTGGGCGAGGTGGAATCGGTTGTACCTCAAGTCGCAGACGAAACCGACTGGGGTCGTCTTCTTGCTGATCAGCAAGGTCGGTGCCGCGAAGAGCACGGCGTGGGCGGCGGTGGACCCCACGCAGCGCGTGGTGTTCGTGAACTTGCGGGACAAGAAGTTCGCTTTGTCCAAGCCCCAGCGTGGGGTAGTTTGGACGGAGCACCCGGGGCTGACGGAGAAGCAGCGGGACGCCGCGCTGATCGCGTCGGAGCGGCTGATCGCGAGGTCGGAGCTGAAGGAGGCCGAGGCCAGGACGGCGGCGGCCAAGAAGGAGGGCAAGAAGCGGAAGCCGTCGTCGAAGACGCAGATGGTGGCCGGCTGGAGCTATCGTACCGTCGGAGCGTGGGGATCGGTGTCCTTCCTGTGCTGGCGCGTGTGGCGCTATTTCGAGCTGGGCTCATGGGTGAGCAGCGTGTACCACGCGGTGCGCGCGGCCTTACAGGCCGTGGAGGACGCGCAGTCGTTCGTGGAGTTCCTGACCGAGCTGTGCGAGAACGGAGACATTGGAGAAGATCATCTGCGTGATAGGAGGCGTGCTCGTGCTGGGCTACGCGGCCTGGTTCTGCGCCAGCGCGAGGGACGACGAGACCTCGGGCGGGTCAGACACCGAGAGCGACGCGGACACGGAAGGCGCGTTGTTGGTGGGCGGGCGCGACGTGAGTGACAGCGACGACGAGCCCGACGCAAAGGCCCTCTTTTCGGAGTTGGCGAGCGGTCAGGCGGAGTTGGCCTCGGCAGTGATCGACCTAAAGGACAAGATGCGCGAGGGGGCCTCCGCTGGGCCGCCCTTGCCGCCGCCCAACCATCCGCCTCCAGCGGAGACTTCGGTTGGCGAGGGCAGCCCGCTTCGGGCTGCCGCGGGTGGGGGCGCTCCCAGCTCGGACGACATCGACGCCTTCATTCGGAAGCTGAACGAGCACGAGGGAGCGGTGCAGCGCGACTCTGCTCGTGCGACGGCTGGGTCTACGCCTACACCGGTCAGCAGCAGTGGCAGCAGTGGATCCTGGGATAAGATCGGCAACGACTTGGACCACCCGCTGAAGGACCAGATTGTGCAGTTGAAGTTGGAGTCCGCCAACCCGAGGGATAGTCTTCTGAACGTGCTGCAGCAGTACAGGCCCTCCATCGGGTCACAGGTGGGAGGCGTTCGTGCACGTGTGGCTCCAACGGTGCTGGCGAAGCTCTATCGAGGAGGTCGCACCGCGCGCATCGAGACGCAGGAGTGGCTACGCTCGAAGGAGCAGCAGACCGCCTCGGTGGCCAACGAGGTGAACATGCTGGCGGTGGTGTTGGACCGCATGATGAGCTCGGGCGAGCGCGACGCACTTATCAACAGCCAAGCGTCCGAGCTCACCTGCCTGCGGCTGTGCTCGATCTGGAAGGCCTACGAGCGGGTGCAGTGCCGCGCCGACTGGCAGCGCCCCAAGGCGCAGAACAACGGGAAGTGGAAGTCCAAGGTCGACTGGGCGCTGGCGGAGGAGTACCTGCGCGTGGACGGCGACCGCGACACCGAGAACTTGAATGCCGACGAGGAGGTGCTGGAGAAGCCGAGGCGCCGCGCGACCCTGAACAAGCACTTGAACCAGAGTGGTGTCGGGGGAGGCGGCGCAGAGGGCGAATAGGTTGCGGCCGGTGCGATCGTGGTAAGCACTGGCCAAGCGCGCGCTGCAGGCACTGCACCGCGCTGCTCGGCTAGTTCGACGGCCTCTACCCGGCTGTCACGCGGCACCGTCCTGGTCTGGGTCCTCGTGGGCCTGCTGACTTGGGTGTTCTTCGAGCCAGCCTGGGAGGTGCTCACCGACTGGGCGATTTTCGAGTCGGAGGAGGTCGAGTTCGACGCTACCGAGACTCCTTTTCCGCGAGCTGGTCAACCTGTGCGTCGTGGTGCAGGACACCAGGTGGAGCCTTTCCTGGACGTCGCTAATGGATCCTCGGGGGCGCGATCCGCTGAGGACCTTACCGAGCCTGCCTTTCCCATTGACTACGAGGCGATCGAGCTCGGGACTGGGGTCGAGCAGCCTGAGGGTTACATGGAGGCGGACGGCGAGGACGATCTCAGCGATCAAGAGCATGGCCATGGGTTGTGCGAACGGCTGGCTGGCCCCGTCCCCCCTGAAGACGGATGAGGTGGCGAAGGAGGTATGGGCGGCGAGCAGCCCGCTCCAGAAGAAGATCATCGGCG